TATCATAGGCATATTAGTATTTTAAATCAGGAAAAACCTAAATATACATATAACTACAAAATAAAAAATGAAAGAAAGACAAAGAGCAAAAAAATTACCTTGAGAGCTTGGAACGTAATATCCATATCTGCTAGACTTCAAAACTAGCTAACCACAGAGTCATCAAAGTAATAGATAAATAATGGTGTCGCAAACTAAAGTTATCATTATTTCGTAAATTTAAATAGAAACTCTTGGGAAAAAAAAAAAGTAGACACCTCTCATTAAACTTCATTTGCTCTTCGAGTTTGTTCATTATCAAATTATCATCCTTATGGATCTACATCTTCAGTTTATCATTCTTAACATATATTATCATTATCATATAGTAGTAATGGACCAAAATTGTGAAATAGGGAAGGTTGTAATGGTCTGTAACATTCATTGTTGGGACCGTCTCTTTCATTAATGGGTGGATATTATATTGTATAAAAAATAGCACACAAATATGGAAAAAGGGATAAAAGCCAAAAAAAAGAGAAAATAGATAAATAAGATCATTGGCCAAAGAGTTGTGCCAACTCATCTCTTATTCTCCCAACTTTATATATATAGAGATTATTTTATTAAGAAAGAATTAGCTTCTAAGCAACACCATTTAGCATTCGCATTCCAAATCGGAAAAGGGCCGAGAAATGTACCTAAAAATCAAAAAGAAAAGATAAGATAGAAAACGCAAGTACACAAGGATAATTTCTAAAATTATTTCAGGAAGATTAAAAGAAATTTGACAAACAAACGAAAATAAATTCTAGGACAAAAGTAAATGGCACCTAATACATAACAATGATTGAAGACAAGGGTGAGAAAAGTGGGATTGATCTTGTAAATCGTTAGAGTCGTATGTAAGTTTTGAACTTTGTAATCATTCATATGAATTTAGCAACCCATATGACATATAGGCACTAATATGATTATTGATATCAGGTTTGTCTATGCATTTATTATCAAAAAAATGAAAGAAAGACAAAGAGCAAAAAAATTACCTTGAGAGCTTGGAACGTAATATCCATATCTGCTAGACTTCAAAACTAGCTAACCACAGAGTCATCAAAATAATAGATAAATAATGGTGTCGCAAACTAAAGTTATCATTATTTCGTAAATTTAAACAGAAACTCTTGGGAAAAAAAAAAGTAGACACCTCTTATTAAACTTCATTTGCTCTTCGAGTTTGTTCATTATCAAATTATCATCCTTATGGATCTACATCTTCAGTTTATCATTCTTAACATATATTATCATTATCATATAGTAGTAATGGACCAAAATTGTGAAATAGGGAAGGTTGTAATGGTCTGTAACATTCATTGTTGGGACCGTCTCTTTCATTAATGGGTGGATATTATATTGTATAAAAAATAGCACACAAATATGGAAAAAGGGATAAAAGCCAAAAAAAAGAGAAAATAGATAAATAAGTTCATTGGCCAAAGAGTTGTGCCAACTCATCTCTTATTGTCCCAACTTTATATATATAGAGATTATTTTATTAAGAAAGAATTAGTTTCTAAGCAACACCATTTAGCATTCGCATTCCAAATCGGAAAAGGGCCGAGAAATGTACCTAAAAATCAAAAAGAAAAGATAAGATAGAAAACGCAAGTACACAAGGATAATTTCTAAAATTATTTCAGGAAGATTAAAAGAAATTTGACAAACAAACGAAAATAAATTCTAGGACAAAAGTAAATGGCACCTAATACATAACAATGATTGAAGACAAGGGTGAGAAAAGTGGGATTGATCTTGTAAATCGTTAGAGTCGTATGTAAGTTTTGAACTTTGTAATCATTCATATGAATTTAGCAACCCATATGACATATAGGCACTAATATGATTATTGATATCAGGTTTGTCTATGCATTTATTATCATCCACATTCATGAGGCAATTTTTTGATGATTAACTATATCATAGGAGATTAGTATTTTAAATCGGGAAAAACCTTAATGTACATATAACTACAAAATAAAAAATGAAAGAAAGACAAAGAGCAAAAAGATTACCTTGAGAGCTTGGAACGTAATATCCATATCTGCTAGACTTCAAAGCTAGCTAACCACAGAGTCATCAAAGTAATAGATAAATAATGGTGTCGCAAACTAAAGTTATCATTATTTCGTAAATTCAAACAGAAACTCTTGAAGAAAAAAAAAAGTACACCTCTTGATCTTCATTTGCTCTTCGAGTTTGTTCATTATCAAAGTATCATCCTTATGGATTTACATTCTCAGTTTATCATTCTTAACATATATTATCATTATCATATAGTAGTAATGGACCAAAACTGTAGAATAGGGAAGGTTGTAACGGTCCGTAACATTCATTGTTGGGACCGTTTCTTTCATTAATGGGTGGATATTATATTGTATAAAAAAATAGCACACAAATATGGAAAAAGGGATAAAAGCCAAAAAAAATGAGAAAATAGATAAATAGGATCCTTGGCCAAAGGATGCCCAACTCATCTCTTATTGTCCCTACTATATATATATATATATATACACACACGTGTATGTGATCCTTTTGCTTCAAACTCGGGCAACCAACCGACGCATCTTTAAGTTGATTAGGTTGTAGGAATTTAAGGACACAGTGGGCACTGAATCACAAATTTTAAGGACTATTTTCCTGCCCATACGTGCATATGTTTTCCTCACCACGTTGCCTGCTTTTGCATGTATACCTCTCCATTTTTTCCACCACACAATCTGGCCTGACCAGCCTCTTACTATCTTTGCTACTTGTCCAGTTTAATTGTCTGTCTTTTAAACAAAACTATATACAAAATAATGTACGTATTAGTGTTATATTTATTCAATAGACAATGTTAGGTAACGTTCGCTGTCAATATCATAAGGGTGTATCTCAGATTATTCGAAGTTCAGAAACCCAAGTTGGTTTTACTGGATCTGTCTGTCTGAATTCGAGATCACGTATGTAACTAAAAATAACACGTGCTTATCACGGGCTTAACTGACCGTTTTCCGAAACAACTCCTTGTATATTCCATTGAACAACCTACTCCATGATCGGTTTCTATGCCCGGGAACTTCACCCACGATACTAATTCACTTAACAGCCTAATACTTTAATATGGCCCCCGTTACATGATCTTACGACTCAAATAAAGTATTTGTGATATCTACATTTTTCGCATTATGTTATCCTACAACTAACTGATTGAGAAGTTTGTATATATATCACCTTCAATTTCAATTTAAGAGTGTGAATACGTACAANGGGTTTGGGCTTTGCGGGGCGGGGGCGGGTCTTTTTTGGAAAAATGTCACATTCCCGCCTAAGGGGCTGAAAACTAACCACGGTCACTAAGGGGCAATGTGGAGTGCGTGTTGTAGTGGGTTATACTATAATTTGGGAAAAGGTATGGATTCAAATTTTTATGGGGTAAATTATTCTAAGATGTGCCATGTATTCAAGGTAGATGCACATTCCTTTGTTTTAAAAACCATCTATATCATGGAAATTCTTCACAAATATAATTGTGTTGTTACTATCTCTTTTTAATAAATCATTTAAAACACTGATGTAGTGCAAATCCTACATAAAGAAATTTTTATCTAACTAAATAGATTTATAATATTAAAAGCGGAACAATAAAAAATATAACTAAATAAAAATGAATTTTTTGTATATGTTAAATCTTTTTTTAAGGGTACAGTACCTTAAGAGTTCAAAAGCAAGAAAGCTATTACTAGTATTAAATCACATGTCTTATTCAACAATTTATTGTCATTTCCTATTTAAAAGTTTTGAAAGATACATACTTAAAAAATACTTATTTTTTGTCTATTGAGAGTGTCATAATCAATAGACATTAATAATGCAAATACTTATAATAAGGGGATATTTGCGTTTTTTAAAATGAGCTGCAAGAACTTGCATTTTTTTAGTTGTCGAATTCAGTATATGAGCAACAAAAGAGCTTTCAATCTTTTGGTTGATTAAATCATAAATTCCAACCAAAAGCTCAAAAAAAATAAAATTGAAAATGCTATACGGGACGGGACGGGTTAAAATCTTTGCGGGTTTATGCGGGTTTATGCGGGTTTGCCCCGTAACAACACCGCACTACACCGTTTGTCATCCCTACATGGCCCATACCCTATATTAAAGAGAGATCATCTTGTTTAAAATGTTCATTAGCACCACAATATATTAGTACAGTGTACTGGATCCTCGGCTTAAGCCTTAACCACACATCAAATTTCCCGCATACATAGATTGTCCAAACTGTGAGAAAAATGGGAAGAAAGGAGAGTAGCAGATATACATCGTGGAGTATTTAACAAAAGATATATTCCCATAATATTTTGGCCTACGCAATTGAACAGTTTTTGTTTTCTAATCACGACAAGATAGTCCATCTTTCAATTATTTTGCTATTCATTGACAAAGTTCCTATTCTTTTACAGTAGATTTGAGTTTTGACCCTCTAGTTACCAACCAAGAATAAATCTTTGGATCTGATTATTTCATTAATGGCTATGAGGCCTTCACTGTGTTGAAGACATTCTCTTCATGAGCACATGCTTGTAGGACCTCTATGAGCACATTTCAAAGATTTCCATCAATTCAATGATTTAGATTTAAGACAAGAATTATTATTTTTTCCATTTTCTGAATCTTACTTTTTTCTACTCCGAGACGAAGTAAAGACTAAGTTTGATTGACATGGGGACAAAGGTGCACATGTAAGTCAATGATTTCTCACATCATCTATTATCATAAAAAGTAAGTTTGGCTCTAAATTGTATATATGTAAACCGAATTAGGTACTCTCTTAGTTTCTTAGACTCTCAGGGAGACTTCGTTTAATAGTGTGCTCTTTTCTCTTGTACAGGTTTGAAATGGAATCTATCATTAGTTTTGTATTCAATTATGGCAAAACGCACTAAAAAACCCTAAACTATTAGTTATTCACACTTTTAACCAAATTAAAAGCATTGGAACTGCAATTTTTGATACAACAGGCTTATAAGTTGCTGTTTCTTTGTTTAACTAATCACAATTTACATTTACTAGCACACGTTTGAGGAAAATGGAAACCAAGATATAAGTTTTCCCTGCCGACACTGTATGTTGCTCAACTAGGAACACTTTACGAAATGGACTTCCAATCGAATCAGAAGCAGAAACTCTTGATGCAAAATGAGTTCTAGAAGTAATTCACCAATGGTTCAACCTTAATATCTGTTTCGTCCTAAAATATAATTGTCTGCAGGCTTCACTTCTAGACCTCACAAAGAAGAGCACTCATCAACATTCCCTCAAGGTTCATGAAAGGTACTGGAAGATATTACCATCTATCCAAAAGGGACTATTTGGTTTTAAAACACTACAAAAGATCATAATCCAGCACTAAACAGAGGCACAACAAAACACTCATGGATCACTGAACGATGAGAAACTGGACCGATCCATATTATACCGGCCATCTGAAAATCACTCAACTTTCCAGCTCTCTCTAGGATCTAGACCACAGAGTTAAAATTCCACATCGAATGTGTCTTACTTCTTAGATTACAACGGAGCAGGAGTGTAAGTCACTAATACTGCCAATACAATGAATTTAAGAACTCAAAACCTGATCAAATGAAATCCAACACGGGGCAATCATCTTCTTACAGGGGGCACAACACCCCGACCAGATGCTGCTCCACGACCTGCAGCCTGAGCCTGCAAACGAGATGTTTATAATCAGGTACATTTCTTCACTAGAAGAATTACAATTCTTGAGCCAGCTAAAACACAACAAATTCTTCATAACATCCTCCTCTCTTTTTTCATGTTAAAAAGCAAATCTTCATCACATCCTCTCCACTCCTCCCCTCCCACGCAAAAGAGAATCCCACAAAAATTCTTGAATAAAGGATCAAAATATACAACTCACAACCTAGAGCAGCCAGCAAGGGACACGTTATAGTTTCGTGAAATAAGGGTAGGAAGAAGCAAAAGTGACAGAGTTGACAGCTTTCTTAAATTGGATGAAGCTACAGATAGAAAAGTCAAACTTCCTGTAAGAAGCAAAACTAAGGAATACAGGATAAGTAAATCAATCAATCCCACATCCCTT